AACCTATTCAGCCTGTCGGTTCTGATGTCATTCATGGCTCCTACTTTTAAGAAGATGTTGGGTTTTTTTATAAAATGGCAAAATTAGATATTTTAAACAAAATTATAGCATATACCATCCTAATGAGGAAGGCTGACCAAATGACTTTTGTAATAATAATAATGATAATAATAATAATAATAATAATAACAACGACAACAACAACAATATTTGTAGGCCACCCTATCTCCCCAGAGGGACTGAGGACGGTTTCCAGTATATGTGACAAACATTAAATGCTCATTAGTTAGGTGTTGTCCTTTGGTAGCCCTCCAAACACAAGATGAGCTCTCTATAAAGTAGAACAAATATCTAGGACCAACTGTACATGCTGATTGGGTGTACGTATTGTCTACTCTTTTATGACCAATCCCATGTTGCCTTTACAACAGATTCAAAAATGGTCCTGCATTTCAGAAGTTGGATTTCAAACAACAGCTGGACAGCTACACAATTACTGCATTTGCATTGGCAGTTTGGGCCATCTGCACCAGCTAGTTATGTTATAAAATAGTAATCCAATAGTGCAATTCAGCCTTTGTTTTTATTATAAATGGGTGGCATGAGGATCCTGATCTGTAGTATTGCACTGGGAGGAAATGTTAAAGCCTTCCTGTCTCTCAATTCAAAATGCTGTCTCTGACCTAGAAAAAAAAACTTGTTTATCTGGGGTCTAGGTTATCAGATCTTTTTTCATGAACCAGTCCAAGTTTTGGAAATACTTTCTTTCTGTTCCCACTGCATTTAAAGACATATTTGATGGAGGCTCCTTTGTGGGTGATCCCATGGAATAGAATTCTTCACAGGAGGCTAGTTTGGTCTCTTCTTTTTTGCTCTCCTTCAGCTAGCAAGGAAAACTAGCTTTTAACCTGTTGTCGTAGGAAAGGGAGATATGCTTTAAATGTGGGAAGGGGTGCTGTAATTTTTTCAGATCTGTTATGTTTAAAACATAACAGATCAGAACGCATCTCTCCCTGTGAACCACCACAGAGATTAAGATCTTCTGGGGAGGCCCTGCTCTCAGTCCCACCACTGTCATAGGCATGTTTGGTGGGAACGAGAGACAGGGCCTTCTCAGTGATTGCCCCTCGGCTATGAAACTCCCTTCCTAATGAGATCAGGTCAGTCCCCTCTCTCTTGTCTTTTAGAAAGATGATAAAAATGTGTCTGTGGATCTGAGCCTTTGGGACTGTGTAATGAGGCTGCAATAGGAACTCTTAGTATGCCAACCAAATTCGATATGGTTGTTGAGACAGTTTTAACTAAATGATTTAATGTCAAGATAATGTTTTTGTATGTGTATGGTCTAGTACATTTTGGCATTAAATGTTTGTCGTCAGGCCCGTAGCCAGGATTTCAATTCGGGGGGGGGGGGGGGGGGGAGTTTTGGGGGGGGGGCTGAGTCTGAGTGAAAGAGGGTCTAACCTAGCAAACCTTTTGTATCATTACCCCAATACCCCCATGCACATGGGATATATTGAGTATGGTGATCAGATCATGATATGAATAAACATAACAGTTTAAATAATGCACCAGTAAGGCCTTTTCGAACCACCATGAGAATTTCGGGGGGGGGGGGCTGAAGCCCTCCAAGCCCCCCCCCCCCCCCCCCCCCCCCCCCCCCCCCCCCCCCCGGCTACATGCCGGCCCAAAGGCTACTTATGGTCTCTTGGTATCCCACCTTAAAATTACAATCACACCTAATTTAAAAGCTCAACCTTCCTTAATTTTTAATCATTTAATGGCTGACAAAATGCGAACAGTGATGGGCATCCTGGCCTCTCTAGGGAGGGGGTTTCAAAGTCTAGAAGCCAAAAGCCTTTGTTCCTTTCAAACTAACTTGAGATGGTGGTGGACAGAGAGAAGGCCCTCTCCAGAAGATCATAGTGTTCTAATAAGTTCAAAGAGAGAAATATAGTATTTCAGATTATCTGGACCCAAGCCGCCTAGGGCTTTATCAGCACTAGGTCATAATCAGCACTAACATTTAGGAAACATTGTATGAACACCAAGCACAAAGTAGCTGCATGCAGTAACATCTTGTGGAAACTTACTAATAGCGCATAAGGTGCAGATGCAAAATTGATAAGAATATCAGCTCTGGCCTTGTCTGAGTATGCCTGCTCTGTTTGGCTGGCACTGCCTCCCGCCCCCGAAGTGCGATGTGAAGTTGCTGCCAATAGCGAGAGAAATAAGGTTGAACACTGTGAAAGTTACCCACTGTATGGCTATCAGCCTCCTCCCAGTAGATTTAAATCAAGGAATTTAAATGAGAACCACTACTCCTATTAATGTTCCTCCAGCAACAGCAAAATATCCCAGTGGGCAGCAAAAACAGGCAATTCCAGCTGACTAAGGTCTTCCTACTGGGGCAAACCAAGAATGGGCAATTTGGAAGTCCCTGATTGGACTCAGAAGTGGAGTTGGCAGATCAAAAGACGACCTAGCAAAATGGTGCTACCTACAAGAATCCTCCGCCTTGTGTGACTGTAGAGCAGAACAAATAACTCAGCACCTGCATGCTTGCCCACAATGCCCTGCCTCATGCACAGAGGAAGAACTGTTTAACATTACAGACAATGCAGATGCTGTTGCCCATTTTTGGTCTAAAAATATTTAGCTGATTGTGCTCCCTTTATTTTATCAGGTTTATAATTATTGATTTGTGCAATGCTTTTGACACAAAATAAATAAATAAGGCACTTTTTATTTGTAAATTGGCAGCCAATGAAGCTGTTGTAAAAGAAGTGTTGTGTGCTCCCTGATTAATAACCTGGTCACCACTCTTTGGATCAACTGAAGTTTTTCAGAATTTTTCAGACAACCCCACGTGAATCACATTACAGTAAACCAACCAGGATGTAAGCCTATCTCCAGGGGATAGGAGACAGGCTTGACTGGATTGCCCAGCTATTGTGAGCCAGGTCTGAATTATACCATTGATTTTAATCTCACTGGACTATATCCAGAATCTCTAGAACTGATACCGAATGTCATCCTTGACTAAGCCTCCAGACACAGCTAGGTTAATGCTGTGTTGTGCCGTAATGATAGCCTATAAAGCAGTGCTTAGAAGCAATAATCGTATCTTTTCTTCTGTCACTATATCTCTGAATCCAGTTTCCCAAGCAGCTTAGCTCATTACAGCTGGGGCAGCTCTAGTGGAAGATAAACTAACTGGAGATAAATCTGATGTAGTTTTACTGATTCAGGCAGATCTAGGGAGGAAATGAAAATGCTAAACTAAGGTATATCTTCATATATCTTCATATTGCCAGCAATATTCATATGGTCTGTCTGACTGTAGAAATTGTGTTCCACGGTAGGGGATATATGAGAGCAAGAAAGTCTCAAATTCAAACCCTCCACTCTCTCGTGTGATGTAATTCTTTATAAAAATTAAGTGAGAGCAGAAAATTTGACTAGATCTTTTAATCTCCTTCCCATTTGATTATTTTAACTGTTCTAGGATTCCAAGTGAGAAAACATAAGATATCTATTATAAAATGTTTTTCTTTCCATATTAGCCCAAGAAGTAGATTCAGCTCCATTCCCAAATATACATTTTAGCAAAATGTTGCTTCTAATTAGGCACAAGCTGAAAGATTTCTATTTTTCCCCACACCACCCAAATGTTTTCATGGATGTACAGAAATAAGAATCCAGATCTTCCTTGCCCAAGTCCTCTATCTCATATGAGCCTTTCTCATATTCCATGAGAAAGACAAGTCTGAGAAGCCCCTCTCATTTAGCATCATTTTCAAAGAGAACACAATAGTTTTATTTGATCAATTGTGCATTTGCTTGGAACTGAGACAATTTACTTTATTGGACTGCAACTCACAGCATTCTCAACAAACACGGTTATTGGTCATGCTCAGTAGGGAATTCTGGGGCTTATAACTTTTAATTGTTCTGGGTTCTTAGCTTAAACCAATTATGGCATTTTAACTCTATGGACACCCCTCCCTTCATACCATGGAAGCCTCAGAGTATGTATGTGGCAATATCATTTAAATTGCCATTTAAATGATATTGCCATACACATACACAGAGCTCAGATGTTAAGATCTTCTGGGGAGTCCCTGCTCCTGGTTCCACCCCCCTTTCAGGTGCGGCTGGTGGGGGATGAGGGACAGGGCCTTCTCAATGGTGGCCCCTCAGCTATGGAACTTCCTCCCCAGCAACATCAGATCAGCTTCCTCCCTCCTGATTTTCAGAAAGAAAGTTAAAACTTGGCTGTGGAATCAAGTGTTTGGGGAGTAGTGCAACCATATGTAACCACAGAGTTAATATAAACAAATCAGGACTATAATTGCGGTATTAGGTGCAATGCTTTTAACAGTTTATTTAAATATATTTATATGGTTTGTTTACTAATTTTAATGCTTAATGTGTTTTGTATTTTGTATGCTTCTATTTTGCAATGTGCCATTGAATTATTGCCAAAATGGAAGCCACTCTGAGTCCCCTTTGGAGTGAAGATAGAATGTAGTAAATAAATATGTGAATTGGATACACATATTTTCACATATTTTGTTCTTGTGTAGAAGAATGCAAAATTTCAGTTATTTCCCACCCCTATTGGAGGTTTTGTGCATTTTGAGTGATGTCAGGCATCTTGGATCCAATGTAAGTAAAAAAAAGCATACAGGTTAGAGTGGGAGATAGCATGAGGACACCTTTTCTGGATTTAATGCTGGTTTGGATGCACTTATGCTGTTTAATATGTTGACACCACTTTAACTGCCATAGCCCAATGCTAGTTTTAAATATTCCATTGCACCATGACAGTTAAAGTGGTATCAAACCACAGTGTAGATGCTTCCTTTGTTCCATGGAAAGGCATCCTCAGTTCTGTTGGGACCCTCTCCATATTGACAGAAGGAATACTGTGCTCTGTTTCAAACCACTTTCTTCAATTCTCTTCTTATGATCTCCTTTGAATTTGTCTCTTTTAGGGGCTACCAAAGACATGGGGAAGATGCTTGGAGGAGAAGAAGAGAAGGACCCAGATGCTGCCAAGAAGGAAGAAGAACGACAGGAAGCCCTTCGACAGCAGGAAGAAGAGAGGAAAGCAAAATATGCCAAGATGGAGGCTGAAAGGGAGAACGTGAGGCAAGGGATTCGGGACAAGGTAGGGGTCACTTCCAGAGAAGTCAGAGAGTCCACTTGTGGCATGATGGTTGGTTCAATGTGGTATCAAATGTCCTCTCAACTCTGTTTGTGCACAAAGAAATAGATTCATCAGTGACGGAAGCACTTCCCAATGTTTTTTAAGCACCAAGCTCTCCATGAAGCATAGGCAAACATTGCTTGTTTCCTTCTCTTTTGAACATGGAAGGAAATGATGCTGGAAAAAACTGCATTGGCAACCTAGACACCACGTTGTATTCTCCACACTATCAATTTGGTTCCATACTGATGCATTGAGGGGAGGTGGATGCTGAAGGTTATTTGGAGAAAACTCCATATAGTTAAACTACATGACACCAACAAATTGAAAAGTGGTCCTTTTTGAGAAGTAGTGTAGAAGGGGAAAGGGAGAAACAAGGGAAAAGTCAGTGTAATGTTCTTCAATATATGTCTTCTGAGAAGATTTGGCACAGCTCTATATGGAACGTCTTCAGGATGTGTTAATAACACTGCATTTAAAAGTATTCTTTTTATTGCCCTGCTGATGATTAATGCAACAAGATAGATGTGCATGGTGTTATACAGGATAATGTTAAAGGACTAGTTTTGTCCCCTGTCTGCATTTAAACAGAAGTGTTGCTCACGAAAGCAAAAGCCGAAGCAAAGGTTAAGTAGAGAAATCTATTTATCATTTATATATCATTATTATTGTATTTATTTGTGTACTGCTTTTTTCTCTTAAAGAGAATCAAAGTGGTTAGCAGTGGTAAAAACAATGCAATATACAATTTTAAATCTAAAGACTATAAGCATTCATTTAGACTTAAGTCCAGGACTATTTAAAAATGGATAAAAGCATTAAAACTGTTTTAAAAGACACAAACATCATACAACACCCCCTGAGTCAGTCTTAAAAACTTCCTAAGTTTTCATAACTTTCCGACTTCTTTCCCATGATCATGTTTTCACATTAGAGATAAAAAGAGCATTGGTGAATAATCTGATCTCGAGCAAAAAGAAGAAAAGAAAAAAGGGGGGCATTTTTGAGTATCAAGAAGCCCCAATGAAGGGAATCCTGGGCAGATGGAAATCTTTGTGGTTTGGAATTTATTCCATACCAAAACAAAACAGAATGTGGTTTTCTGCAAGGAAACAAAATACTTTTTTGGAAAGTTTCCTACACATGAAATGTGCTTTTCTAAACAGAAAGAAAATTTACAGTACAGAAAGATACTTTATTGCATACACACAGGTACATCACTGTATTTTGTGTGTATGGTGTTTTTTTTTAAATCAAATTGTAAGTAGTTCTAGAAAATTGCTCAATTTGTGAGGACTTTTTCCACTGTGGGGAGAAAAAAGTGTTAAATGATTGGTTTCCCCGCCCCCTCTTTTCTATGCTATGAAATGTACAAAGATTAACTACTTCAGTTGAATTAGAGAAAGGATTTTCCAGTTTGATATCAACTAGCATTCATTTCAGAATATTTTCCGGAGTTTTCCAGACATTTCAATTCAATTCACTAGCATAGTGTATTATCAGTAGCGTAGTACTACATTTTAGGGATAGAAAGAACATTGATAAACTTTTCGATCTCAAGGCAAAAAGGGTTTGGGTTGGGAGAGTCCTGGGTGCCAAAAAATCCTAGATGGATGGAAATTTCCATAATTTGGCCTTTATTCTCTGCAAAAATAAATCTTAGTTTTTTAAAAAAAACTAAGATTTTTTAAAAAAAGCTTTTATACATAAAGTGCACCTTTCCATGTAGGAAAAATCTTTACTCGGCAGAAAATGTTTTCTGTTGCTTTAAAAAACAACTTTTTGCAAAATAATGTTTTTCTTGCAGAATTTTTTTTAGAATAAATTTCAAATTGCAAAGAGTCCTAAAACACAGAACAGTTTCTGAGAGCTTTTAAAAATGGAAACAATAAAATCTGAAGATGGGAACAAGATTAAAAAAAACCCTCCTGGGGGAAGATTTAACTGTCAGTTCAGATGAGTACTAGTACATAGAACACAGTGAATATGTACCATAGCCTTCATTTGAGGCAGCAGAATACCTTGGACCATTTCCTTCATCTAATGAGATCTATTCAGAAACCAAGATATTGGCTTTAACAAAACATAAATCCAGGTAAAAGAATTTAGTTTTTTAATTAAAAAGATTTACAGTTGGCCTGCCACATTTGCTGATTTAGGGCCGCAGGACCTTTGCAAAAAGTGGAAAATTTGCAAATAAAACAACACTTTTCTTTACCTGAGAGACTACATCTCTAGGAATCTGTAGGTCCACCACTGTGACCATAGCATTGCACTAGAGGACATAGAGATTCATAAATAGATCATATTAATGAAATCTGCAAAAATATAATTCACAGTTATTGAAGGTCAGCTGTACCTCTCCTTCTAAATCCATAGATCTTACACCAGCATAAAACAAGATCTCTTTAAATAATGTATAAGTATTTAAAATTTGAAATAGAAAACAAATAATTAATGATGCATGGTTTAAAAAGCATAGTAAGCTATGTAATTGTTCACAACAAATTAAGAAAATTAAAATCTTGCACATTTGCAAACTGGATAAAATTATTAGACTGTTCATTAACAATAGTGGTCCAAGTGTTTGTGCTTCTTTAACTGCACTCACTTCCACAAAAGGGGCAGAGAGTCAAAGTTTTCTCCATTTCAAGTGCCTTTCACATTCCTTTCTTCCTATATATATCTAACTGCATTCTTCTGGTGACCACAAAATAGAAAATGGGAGGAGAGGGCATTTGTACTACTGATGAGCATTCTGGCCAATGTTAATTTTGCATTCTCAATATAATCAGCTAGGGTTGCAGACTGGAGTGGGGGAATATTTCCATAACCAATATGGGCAAATACCCAAAGTGATGTTTCTGAATATTTCACCTTTCATTCATGCGAAGCTATGTTTAGAGTGTCACTCACAGATTGATGGTTTATTTATTATAGTTTGCTTTTGATATGTTGTTTTCTCAGAGACATCCGTTTTGTGAGTTGCATTTGCAATGATGGGAGAGACCTTGAAGAAGGAACTGTTGCACTGCATTGGAGAATCCAAATATACTGCAAATGTTTAAGGCCATTTTACCAGAGGTTCTAGGATTCCCAGGGGATGTATCATTACTAAGTAGCTCTAATTTCACTTTATGCCTCATCCATGCACATTGGGTGGTATCTGGAGAGCAAATTAGATTTCATTTACCTTTCTTGCTGTATATAGAATTGCCAAAGGTATAAGACAGCAAAACAGAAATCAATGTATGTTTACTTATCCAGTTTTCTGTTGTGCTTTGATTGCATAATTCACTGAGTAGGTGGGAGGAGGAATTACTGTTCAGTGAAGCAAGATGCTGTTTGAAAGATGTTTTATTTATTTACGGTATTTATATACCGCTTTTCTCACCCCTGGGAAGATATGTCAATCTGATGGTGCCCAAGGCTGGTGTACTGTTAAAGCTAAATGGACTTCACTATGCTAGTTTCTACATGGCAGGCCTATCTACCAGAACAGTAGCAGGTCCTATGGCATCTTTAGGACCTATACACAGTTATCCTTTTTTGGTGGCAGTGACAGGAATTTACAATTTCAGCCACAGAGCCCAATGGCTCCCCTCACACCCTGAAGAACTACTTTCAGAGCAGTTCTGTGACTGAAGTTAAAACTGCCATCGTTGCTGCCAGAAACGTGGTGGCGGAGAACAATGGCAGGCGCCTTGTCTTTCCATAGGGAAAGACGGATTGAGCCACCAAAAAAAAAAAAAAAGGCTTTCCCCCATGTGGTGTGGCAGGGAGGGAAGCTGTGGTGGAGCAGGGCACAAAACTTCTGCGTGACTACTGCCGGGATGCAGCGAGATGCCTTGGTTCCAGCGGCACATCTGACAAGGTCATTAGAAAGTTAGGAAAGTAATTTTTTCACTGTCTCTGTTAGAAAGGTTATTCTGTGAGCTATTGTTTAAAATGTGAATTTGAGCAAACTATAAATAAGCAGTAAAGGTGTTCAAGTATCTAGGTTGTGTTTGCACCCTCAATCATGAATCTTGGGCAGCAGTGAGCATGAACAACTGTAGCAGAGACTTTTGCTGCTGAAACTATACAGGAGATGCATCACAACTTTGGGATAGTAAATTGGCTGAAATGTTACCTTGAAGTAACTGGGCCTGGATATACACTGCTATATAACACAGTTTCAACTGCATAGAGGGCTATATGGCAGTGTAGACCCATGTAATCCAATTCAGTGCAGTTAATCTGTATTCTGAAACTGCATTATATGATTTCTGTGGTATTTTGAATCATTTTAGAACATTGTAGCCTTTGGAGGGGTGAACTAAAAGGCCACAAAATTTGAGTTGGGTGAGTGACTTGCAGCTCCACATCAAGCCATATTTTACAAAAACCAATTATCACACGGAGAGAAAGTGAGGTGAAATCTTCTGAACAGGTGCACAGACAGCAAAACAACCACCACATGGATATTAACTTTTCCCTTTGCTGTTCAAAGATAGATAGATAGATAGATAGATAGATAGATAGATAGATAGATAGACAGACAGATAGATATGGCTAGAGTTCCTCTTAAAATGTACCTGTTCCGACTTACATACAAATTCAATTTAAGAATAAACCTGCAGAACATAACTTATTCATAACTTGGGGGCTTCCTGTATTCCCAACTAAGCTTCTGGCTAGATGATTTTCTGTTCTCTAAATATTTGTAAATAATAGTAATGTGAATGCATTACTATTGTTTCTGCCTGCCCAATATGCCTGCTCCCTGGTCAGTTTTTAAAAAAGATTTTGGAGGAGGCATTAGTGCTAGCAGGAGCCATGATGATGTAGTGGTCTAAGCATGGGACCACCAATCTGGATACTAAGGTTCAAATCAAATAGAGAGAGATAGAGAGAGAGAGAGAGAGAGAGAGGGAGAGAGGGAGGGAGAGATGATAGATAGACAGATAGATAGATAGATA